CAGTGAGGATTTTTTACATGTAGAATTTCAAGTTTCTTTGTAGTTCAGCCTGCCATTAAAAAAATTGGCTACTTTCCCTCCGGTATTTAACATATAAAATGCTACCTTCAAGGGATCAAAGGAAAAATACTTTAAATTCTTTCATCTGGCCATGTGATTATTTGCATTGTGCCAATGTACTGGTAGATTTCTTAGGAATGTACAGCTGTATATATATATATATATATATATATANTTTAAAAAAAAGAGAGTACAGCTGAGAACAATTAATTAATTAATATTAATTATAGAGACATTGAAAAAAATATAAAAACAAAATGAAGGAGGAAATAACAGATAGAGGGATGTTAAACCAACTCTGAGCTTTTATCCTATCTTTAAAATCTGTTGGTGATTGTGTTTCATTCCATGGAATCTGCTGTGGGAGAAGTTTGAGTTTGCCTGTGGTTCTGTAGTAAAAGCTTCCATCTTAAAGGTTCTACATCTGTATTTTTTTTTCTGTACTCTTTTTTGTTTATATTTTGGTTATTTTCAAGGCAGAGAGTCTGGGCATCCTGCCAGCTCTGCCATTTATTTTTAACACAGTGTGTTTTTTCCAAGTAGTAATGTTAGAAACTGTCTTGTAATTTTCAGTATAAGAAGAGAGATGAAACTACTGTGCTTTCCCTTTTGGGAAAATGTCAAGTTCTTTGATATTTTTTATTCCTTTTACTTTTATATACTTTCGCTATTTTCTTTTAGGATTTTTTTTGTCTCTAATACATTTAAGAAAACTATAGAAAACTCCTGGCTTTTGACCTTTGCTTACAATTTGCATATTATCTGCACACTTCTCCTTTGGACATTGGGAAATTCAAAAGCAGCTTGTGGTTTCAACTTCAGCTTCAAGGAGCCACCAGTGGTTATTTTAAATATAAGAATACCTTTTTTTAAAGTATTTTTATGTTAAGAATAGCATATGCAAAAACATCTATAGAACTTAATATCTAGGCGAATATTAAATGAAATTGCTAACGTATAAATGGAGTCAAAGCAGTGACTTACTTGTGGGATGCCTTTTCTGTATAATAATTCTGAATAGCACAATGAATTCTGCAAAGGCCAGTTATGTTCTTTTGGTTAATTAATGAAGTCCAGAAGGAATTAAATCATTGGCTAGGATTCTTCATTTATAAACTATAATTGAACTATTTTTGCCTGTTTATGTTTTTTCAGAAGGAATTCATTTTTGTCTTTAGTATTTAGAATTCAAAGTCTTCAGTTTCAGCCAATATCAGGACTTAAATTGTTAGTTATTTGTACTTGAAGAAGTGCCAATGTTTAAAGAAAAGGCATTTGGCAACTGTTCCAGTACAAAACGTACTGTTTGGTGTGTTTACCCTGAAATTTGTGCAGATGATCTAAAAGAAAGCTTAACTTGTCAACCATCCCAAAAGGCCCATTTTATAAAGGCCCAAGAGTAGTAACTTTGATGGATGAAGGGTTGACCTAATTCAGTGCAACTCAATTCAGTTCAATGCTATTTAGTTTCTTTGATTCAGGCACTACTCGTCTTCAAACTGATTTGAGCAGCTCATAATAAAACAAAGCAAGATTTTAAAATGCAGTAGATATAAAAAGAATGAAACATGAGGAATAGTTTTTGCAGCTGGTGTAGTTTTTGATCCAGGCGCAACCATATTGCAACTTGCCTTGCTTCCTTGGGATTTTTGAAAAATATTCTTCCTTTTGCCAACTCTCTTCTTGGAGTCCAGTTCCAGGCTCCCAAAAGACCTTTGAAAAGAAAAGAAAAAGGTCAAATATTTGCAGAAATTGTTAATTATGATAATGTGACAGTGATAAAAATTTTATACGCTGAAATGTTTCTTCGTGTCATGCCAGTCTTAACTTTGCAGAAAGTCTATTCCAGCATTTATTACTCAACTATTTGTTTCATGGACATTTGCTTATAGATTCTGATGTCACTTGGCTTCCCATCTAGGCACTTTTTTTTTCTCTTTTCCACCAACTAAATGCTCCCAGACATAGTGTTAATCATCATTTCCCTCTGTTTTCCCCTTTCCCAGGTAGTTCTCCTATTTCATACCTTTCCTGTTCACTTTCCTGATCTTTAGTTACATTTTTCCCACATCAATTCTATTGTTCCTTATCTAGCAAGCTTCCTGAACTCTTGATCATTAGTACATTTAGTTTATTTTTATTGCTTCTTAATTAAACATAAAAAACAAAATAACACACAAAAATAATAGGATGGTGATAGATACATTGTCAGAGAAGGGGAAAAAAGACATAAAAATGCTTTAACAAAAAATAAATAAAAGAAATAAGAGGAAGAATAGCAGAGTTGGAAGGGACCTTGGAGGTCTTCTAATCCAACCCCCCTGCTCAGGCAGAAAGCCCTATATTTGTCATGACAAACCTATGGCACACATGCCACAGGTGGCACGTGGAGCCATATTGGTGGAAATGCAAGCTCAGCTTGCCAGCTGATTTTTGGGCTTTCTGGGCCCACCAGAAGTCAGGAAACAGGCTGTTTTCAGCCTCCGGGGCTGCCATTTTTGCCCTCCCCAGGCTCCTAGAAAGGGTCTGGAATCTGGGGAGGGCAAAAAACAGGCCCTCTGTGCCATCGCGTGCCAAAAGCGAGTGGAGCATGGGAGGGTGTTTGCGCACACATGCGTAGGGACGGGTGCATAGAATTATGGGTGTGGGCACGCACGCACATGACCCCTGCACTCCCCCCACTTTTGGCACGCAATAGCAAAAGGTTAGTCATCACTGCCCTATATCATTTCAGACAAATGGTAGTCCATTTTTTTCTTTAAAACATCCAGTGTTGGAACATTAATAACTTCTGGAGACAATGTTCCACTCATTAATTGTTCTAACTGCCCAGATATTTCTCTTTACGTTTCTTCTCTCCTTGATTAGTTTCCTATCCATAAAGAAATCTAATATGGCTGACTCCCTAGTTCTCTTCTCTACTTTTTGGGAGATGAAAGTTGTCTGCTAGGTTGTCAAGAACCTGTTTGATCCTCCATTTGGTGCAGAAATTGTCTCCAGATGTTGGGATAGCTAAAAAGTCCTCTGTTGCTGTTGTGATGTGCTTCCTACATACCTTAGTGAACTGACTAGCAAAAAGTTCATCTCTTTCCTCTATTTGTTTGGGTGGCCTATAGTATACCCCTATGGCACTGTTATCCCCCCCCTTTATATTGACCCAAATGCATTCAAGATTGTTTTCATCATTGTTCTGCTCTATTTCTGTAGAAATGTAGTTATTTCTTATATACAGTGCAACTCCACCTCTTCTTAAATCCCTCTAGCTGTATATTCCATTTGTGGGTTTTATCCCACCAAATTTCTGTAAAGAAAAGAAACAATTGCAATTTTATATACACTTATCTAATGCAAATATTATTCAAGTATGTACATATTTCTAATAAATTTGTGATATTATCTTTTTAACATACTGTATTCTGTATAAATAAGTCCCATTTTTCATTATACTTGTCCATACAAGCTTTTGTTCAATCTCCAATTTTTTCTTTCTAGTGGTGGAAAGAATGGTTGCACAGCCTGCCCCTTCAGAGAAATTTGGATAAAGCAGATTATCTAGCCTGCTTTCAGTTGGGGTTCAGACCTGGGTTTGGGACTGATACAGCACTGATCACATTTATGGATGACCTCTGGCAGGAGTGGCATCCATCCTGGCTCTTCTTGACCTCTCAGCGGTATTTGATACTATTGATCATGGTGCCTTTTTGGGGCGGTTTTGGGACTTGTGTGTATTGTGTTGATTTTCCTCCTTTCTCCAGGCCGGTTCCAGTTGGTGCTGATAGAGGGAGAGAGCTCCAGCCCCCAGCCCCTACTGTGTAGGATGCCTCAGGGTTTTAATTCTCTCTCCTCTTCTATTAATATTTACATGAAGCCACTGAGTGAGGTGATTTGTTGGTTTGTGGGTAAGATATCATCAGTATATAGATGACACCCAGCTTTATATCTCTACACCAGGCCAGAATAGAGTTGGAAGGTACAGTATCTTGGAGGTCTTCTATTCCAACCTATGCTCAAGCAGGAGACCCTATACCATTTCAGAAGTGGCTGTCCAGTCTTTTCTTAAAAAGCTCCAGTGATGAAGCACCCACAACCTCTGAAGACAAGCTGTTCCACTGGTTAATTGTCCTTCTCACAGTTAGGACGTTTCTCCTTAACTCCAGGTTGCTTCTCCTCTTCATTAGTTTCCATCCATTCTTTCTTGTCTTCCCTTCTGTTGCTATGGAAGAGAAGTAGACCCCCTCTTCTTTGTGGCTGTCCCCCAAATACTGAAACACTGCTATCATGTCACCCCTAATACTTCTTTTTTCTAGAGTAGCCATATCCAATTTCTGCAACCATACTTCATATGTTTTAATTTCCAAATCCTTAATCATCTTAGTTGCTCTTCTCTGCACTTCCCCCCTCCCCAATATTTGCAATATTTTTTTTATAATGTGGTGACTAAACCTGGATTCTATAATCCAGATGTGACCTTACTAAGGTTTTATAAAATGGTACTAATACTTCACGTGATCTGGATGCTATTCCTCCGATTATGCAACCAAGTATTGTTCAGTTCAGTTCAGTTTATTTAGCTTGTATGCCTCCCTACTCCCGGNCTTCCTTTAACTCATCTTTGTTCTGTATTTTAAACTTTTTAAAATGCTTTTCAACTGTTTTTATGTAAGCCACCCGGAGTCCTTCGGGATTGGGCGGCATACAAATCTATTAAAATTGGAAAAAATTGGAAGAGTTTAGAAAGAAATGGAAAGGACAATGTGCTCTATTTTCCCACAAACAGGAAACTACTATTTGAATTTAAAAGAAGTTTCACATACCATGTTTGAGGGCGCCCTATATACAAAAATGAAAAATGAATTGCTGACTAAGCTCATTAGACATGGAGCTGATTGTTCAAGTATTGAAGAGAGATAATCAGTTGAATGCTTGTTCATTCTTTACAGATTACTCAGGGTGAACTCCAGAAGTCATGCGCTAAGCCTCTAGTAGAGAAAGCTACAGATAATTGCCAGCATATCTGCCAATGCAGACCACCTCCATTACCGCCACCGCCACCTCCACCGCCACCACCAAGGTTGCTTGGGGCTTCATGTAAGTAGAGGTTACCACTGTTTCTTTTTACCTTCAGAAAAGCCTAGGAGCATCAGAAAGATTGTTAAATCACTGATTGGGAAGAAGGCAATATTTATTTAATGCAAAGGTAGTAATATTTTTCTAATGCAGAATGGGAAAATAGTCATAATTCAGATTGTTGATTGTTTAACGCTGTTTCCTTAAACATGCAATAACATGCAAATCCTTGAATAATGCCATATGCAATGAGGGTGCCATGATCTAGTATATAAATATGTTTATAATTTCCCCAATTTATGTTCTATCAAACTTAATGTTACACATACTGTAGCTTTGTGTGTGAATGCATCTGCATCCATCTCCTGGAGGAAATAGATTATCTAAATCCTTTCAAGTCAAATTTCAGCCCCTGAAAACTTGTATTTACATCATCAGTATATGAATGATGCCCAGTTATATATATCATGATATATCACAAGTCTTAAAGTGGCCCAGATTAGAGCTCCCTGGTATAGAGTACAGTTTCTCAAATAGTGATAGAAGTAGCAAAGTTCCCTTATATAATATTTTTACTTTAAGAGGCCCATTTGATATTAGTTGGATCTAATTGAAAATGTTAGTTCTCATGTTTAAAGGATCTGGATATCCACAGGACTAAATTCTCCCTGTGGTTTCTCACCATGTGGTAAGATCAGAAAGGATAGGCTGTCTCTGGTTCTCTTCTCTTAGGCATTGTCATCTCCAGGGGCCATGGAGTAATACATCTTTTTCAATTTTAATCACCTCATCTTTGGAACAGCATATTTCCCAAGATAGACAAACTCCCATTAACATATGGCTTCTTAAGAGAGCCCTGGAGTGGAACTATTATATGTAGCTTTTTTTTGGGGGGGGGGGGTATGTTGCTTGATGCTTAATTTTCCTCAGTGCTGAAGATTTTATAATTGCATGCTGTTTATTCTGATGTTTATCTCTGATACTGTAAGAGGGGAATGGAAATTGCTCAGAGTCCTTCTGAAGTAGGACTGTCAAACTCCTGGCCTGCAGGCTGGATGTGTCATGCACTGGTCACACCCATGCCCAGTTTAGCAGGGGGGGGGGGAATCCCAATATGTCACGTGACACCGCTGTGACGACGTGAGTTTGACACCCATGGTAAATCCCAAGGTAAAGGAGAATAATAAAGAAAGTATTTGGGAATTTCTATCCAAGTCTTATGGTATGAGGCAACTCATTAATCTTAGTTTTGTGTAAATAGTTTTATCTTCCTAGGTTAATTCTAGATTAATAGCTAATGTAATATGCAGCTACTTACTAGCCTCTGGAACACTGAATAGGTATTTTAAAAACAAGCAAAAAGGTCCATTTTATTCTAGGAAACCTCTTGAATTGTTCAGATGATTTCATTTATGTTTGGGAGAGTTTGGGATTTAACATATGTGGCTAATTCAGCCCTTTCATCAATATATTTTTGTTACCTGCCTCTGGGACTCATTTAGTCTCTTGTAAGACTCTGTCTAAGTGTAATGATATCATTACTTATTTTCAACTTGAGCCATGATTTGCTCCTTTTGCTATTTTAGCCAATAAAAGTATATTCTGATAGTATACCATGATATCATCTAAGGTATATAGGTTTCCTATCTACAAGATCATCAGTTGTCAGAATTGAAAAATCTAAATATTTAAATTATACACAGACATAAAATAAAAAAGTGTTTGAAGTCTTTAGAAACTTGAGTTTCCTGCCTGCTCGTTCCAACAGTCACTGTACAGGAGAATAGATGTACATAATTCTAATATCAAAATAGCAATATTGAGAATTCAATGGGAGACAATCTTATCCTCCCAGGGTAATATTTGATTTGTTCCACTCAAAGTGGCCATGCTTCAACAAAAAAGGTTCCAAAGGCAGATTGCAATGCAAAACAACTAAACCAGAATTTATTTTCATATGTAATTGGATGGTGTTCCAACACAGATGAAGTGGGAATTATCTTTCCTGCTATGGAAAACATAGTTGTCTTCTTTTTGGTGTCAGATTAGCATGGTAAGAAAGGCAATATTATTGTCAATGATTGCTCTATTTGCTTCTGCATACAACTTTCACAGATTGTGTCTTATGTTTACAAAATACCTCGGTCCATATCTGTGTTTATGTGTCAGAACAAGCAACATTAATACAATTTCAGGCATTTAGAACATTGACTTTTCTCACAGTTATTTGTTATTAGAATTTGTTTTGCTGAATTTAGATGGACTGCCTCTCTCAATTTCTCACAAACCCAAGTATACTGTAAAGCAATTTTCTTCTTGCATCCTTTGTTATTTTATTCTGTTTTGGGGAATGTTTGCATCCAGGGATCCCCATTTCCTTTATTATTCCTTTTAAATAACTTTAAAAGTTATTTAACTTTTCTCTGGGCTAGTAAATATATTTTCTGAACACAGAATGTTTTCTTCTGATTATCCCTGTGCATGGATTGTGTAAGTGGTGAAATTCATTTTTTTTTTTACTACTGGTTCTGTGGGCATGGCTTGGTTGGCGTGGCAGGGGAAGGATACTGCAAAAACCCCATTCTCTCCTCACTCCTGGGGGAAAGATATTGCAAAATCTCCATTCCCACCCCAGTCTGGGGCCAGCCAAAGGTGGTATTTGCTGGTTCTCTGAACTACTCAAAATTGCCGCTACAGGTCCTCCAGAACTTGTCAGAACCTGCTGAATTTCAGCCCTAGCTTGTGTGGTATTTTTAAAAAAAGGTTTGAGATGGCGCTGTCAGTGCACATCCTCTCATTCCTCCCTTGATAAAAGTTTTTCAAACTTTGAATCATCAGACTGTATGGACAAAGACTTTGATCTGGATAAATAAAACCTATTTTGCCTTTAACAAGGAACAGGAATGGCAATTATACCCAAACATTCCACAGTTAGCTTAATTTCAGCTGTATCATCATCTGCCAGGCTGGGAAAATGATGATGGAGGAGGATTCTTCTACCAATTCTGAATCTGAGATTCTGGCTCAGGTATAAGTCTTGAAGCCAATCCAGTAAGATCTTGCAGAGCTTAAATGTGATTAAAAGAGGTGCAAAAAAAAAAGTCTCACTATGAAGAATGAAGCAATTATACAACTCAATCATAATATTCCTGTTTTACAAAAAGAGATGATTGTAAAGGACCATAAAAAGAAATTAAATGAATACTTTGATAATAACCCGGCTAAAGGGACAAATGTAATGATTGTTTGGGATGCTAGTAAAGCAGTTAAGCGAGGCTATTTTATACAATATGAGTGTCTGGAGAGGAAGAAATCCAGGAAAAAGATGCACAAGCTATTGTATGAAACTAGAAAGAAAGAAATTCAATCTAAAAAGGCACCTATGGATAAGGTGACCAGATTTCATATTGGTAAAGAGGGACACCTTTGACGGGGGCAGGGGGGGGGGGCTTGATTAAAAATTTTACGGAGCAACAAAAATGTTCATATAACGCAAAAATAGTATTGTAATTTTTTTTATTTCAACATAACTACAATTTACAAATATAAATTGTAACTCTTGCCAAACATCAATATTTTGATCACATGACCATGATGATGCTGCAACGGTCGCTAAGTGTGAAAATGGTCGCTAAGTGTGAAAAATGGTCATCAGTCACTTTTTTCAANTATATATATATATATATATATATATATATATATATATAATGTCGTTCTTGTTAGAGTGAAATCAAATAAATCACAATGATTCCTTTTCAGCAGCATATAGTAGTCATACACTAAGCTAAATAAAATAACCATAAGTATAATTGTTAATACCATTTTTCATGTTTTCCGATTTTGGTCTAAATGGAGTTGATACCTATGTCTGTGTGTAATTTCCTATTGAGACATATATTAGTTTCACACTTCAGTTTAGTAACATACTGATCGTAGTATTTGGCAAAACATAAACTTTAGCAGATTTGCATAAACTACTTTAGATATTGATTACAAATTATAGAAAAATAGAGGAACTTTAATCATGCTATCATGTGATCCTCACATAATCCTAGTTATGTTGATTGAAAAGTATTTTATTTCAAATTAATGAGTTTTACTCATTTTGCCTGCAGTGCAATTAAGATGTGTTTTCAGACATTCTATGGATGTGCATCATGCTTCTTGCCTCACTTTCAGGAAGCACGGCTGAAAGTTGTATACACATTGTGGTTCTCTTTGTGTTGTCATTGCCTTTTCCCATTGCCTTCTCAGAGTGGTATCCTTCTAATGTGTTATTGGTTGCAAGCTTGGACAGGGCTCAGTACCTAGAAAGGGTAAATAACCCTATCAGCAATGAAATCAACACTAATCAGCTGTAGGTCTTGTGAATATATTATTTATATATGCAAATATATACAGTACATACAAACAAGCAAAATAAAATTAGGGGTGTATAGGAATAGATTCTGGAGTTCTGCCATAAATATGTCATCTGACTTACAAAATGTCAGTTGACTCATGGTGTGAATTTTGGTTAATTTATTGGTGAAAACATATACTATAAAATAGTATGGAGAAAGCATTTTTCGTTTCTTTTTAGGTGATATAGGATTGTGCTACAACAAGAATTGTTTAGGAGAAATAGTGCTGACTTAGAAACAACTCTTCTATCTTTAAAATAGGGCCTGCAGTTAATTTTCTATACATTAAAATGTCTTTTTTTTAACTTATTGTATATATTTGTGGCTAAGTGAAGAACTTTAGGTGCCAAAATATATCCCAAAAGATAATTTTGGCATATCCGCAGATAGGCTTACTTGCTAGTATATATGATATTTTTTTAAAGGTACCCATATATCTCTACATACTTGTGGATAAGCCCATCCGTGAATAAGCAGACCCTCCAATTTTTAAACAAACTACCATGAAAAATGTATCAATTTATCTGTGGGTGGTTCATTTTTCATGATATTTTTGTTAAAAATTCAAGGTTAAGTTTATTGATTATGTATTGATTAGGTATTATTTAGGTATACAGG